TCGCGTTTAGGCTCCAGACGACTATTGCACTTTAGTGTGCCTCAAGCTTTTAAAAACACTTCTGCCACACGAAAAACTTAATCTTCTTCGGAATTTTCACCTTCCACAGCGAGACAAACACTGGGGTCGTAGAGGGAGAATTAGGGGAACATAAAAGTTTAAAGAAGGAGCTAAAGGAGAAATCCCTAGACGGATTAGAGGACCAAGCACGAAAGTCCTTCCTATCACGAAAGAAAGAAACATCAGAAAGCAGATGGATCAACTCAGCTGCTTCCTAGCCTCTCTGTCAGTTAAAGACTGAGGCCCAAGGAAATAGACAACCCTTCCCCCTAGTCCTCAGCACCGAGGCCATCGGAAGCAAGCTTCTATCCGATAAGCAAAAAAGGTGAGGAAGTAACGAACACGGAGGCTTTTCTCCCACCTAAAGGTCCTCCAAAAAATAAGTGTAATGACCATCCCCAACAACACAATACAAAAATTGAGAGAAGAAAGGAAAGCCTAAGGAGATAGCCTTTCAGGGGTTATTCGTGCAAACCTTAAGCCCTCTATCAGAGACCCACTCAAAGGGGTGCGGTCCATACTTGCTTACGATAATCCTCCACCACAAGGCACTAGATTTTTGGACGAAACGCCACAAACATTTAACCAAAAGCGCATCATTTCTATGCCTCAAGTTCCCAATACCAAGACCTCCTGCCTCTAACAGCTTGGAAGCAATCCCTCAACTAAGTAAGTAAGCTCCACCCCCTCGTCCATCCCTCTCCCACAGAAAGTCTCTCGTAATTTTTTTCAAGCTCTTACAAACAGCCACATGAACTTTAAAAAGGGAGGAGTAGTACGTCGAAATCCCACTTAAAACTACTTGAATGAGAGTTAATCTCCCCCCTTTAGAAAAAAAAGTGTTTTTTTCCCACAAAAACAGACGCTTATGAATTTTCTCCAACACTGTGGCCCAGAAAGAAAGAGGCGTAGGATTATGCCCCAGAGGAAGACCCAAATAGGAAGTTGGGAAACTACACACTTCGCAACCTACCTCGGAGGCCCAAAGAAGAAGCTTAGACTATTTTGTCTCTAGGTCCAGAAGCACTAATCGAACCTAGGGTTTCTTCTGGCCCTATTATTGAACGATTAGATAATTGCCGTTTCAACCCCGTGTTTGAGGAAGGACTTCTCCTTTCGACGTTAGATCCTTCCATTGTGAGTTTGTTCAACGATGATTCTTTCCTCTCGTCGCCAATGTTGAACACAATGAGTCCAGCCGACTTAAAGGTTTTGTTTGAGGGAGTAGTCGAAGATCAGAGTTGTGGTTCAGAGAAGGAGATTGAGGGTTCGAAGCCGGTTTCTTCGCTATTTAGTCGATTGAGCCTGATGCGAGCCTTGGTGAAGATAGCCCAGGTAAGTCGGCCCAGGTAATCATTTCTTCTTCTCTAGTTTCTTCACCTTCCAAAGCGAGATGCACAGCTGGGGTTGCAGTTGGTCTTTCTTTTGGTCCTTCGGTTTCCTTGGGTGGTGAAGATTCTTTACCTGTTACTTCCATTCAGCCATCCCCAGTGCCTTCAGCTAAAGGGGTGGAGAGTAGTGGCTTTGACTCTTCTTTATTATTGTGTAGGCTTCCAGGGGCGATTTGCACGGGCCCTTCTGCCAAAAGTCAAATTCCTAGTCTCGGGGAGGTCTTTCCGGCTTCGGTTCTGATTGCCATAGGCACTAGTTTTGGGAGGGATCCAAATAACCATTCGACTATTTTGCAATTGATGCCTCAGGGTCATGACCAGGTGGATTGCCATTTTCAGGAGCGTTTATCGAACGAGTGGTTTGGCTGGTGCGATTATGGAATCAACTCAAGGAAAGTAAGAAACAAGGTCATCACCTTGTTGATTGAATATCTCAAGGCAAGAAAACTCGTTGCTTGTTTGAGATCCAAAGTCTCTCCACAAGCAAGCTAGATTAAGTCTCACTTGAATGATCCTAAGCCTACAAACTATCACAAGATTGTAATATACATTAGCTCTTAGCTATAAGAAAAGCTAAAGGTTCCTTTTCATTACATTTCTAAAATATCTTCCAATCTCTAAAGATCTTTTCATTACATTCTAAAAATATCTTCCAACCATTTGAAGAGTCCTCTTATCATTATGGATTTCTGACCCCATTCTCCATAGGGCCCTCTTATCTCTTCCTTCTCCGAGCTCGGGTTATGGAAGAAGGAATCGAGAAGAAAGTATCAGCAACAACAGGTTTTATTACGGGACAACTCATGATGTTCATATCGATCTATTATGCGCCTCTGCATCTAGCATTGGGTAGACCTCATACAATAACTGTCCTAGCTCTACCGTATCTTTTGTTTCATTTCTTCTGGAACAATCACAAACACTTTTTTGATTATGGATCTACTACCAGAAACTCAATGCGTAATCTTAGCATTCAATGTGTATTGCCAAAGTAAATGAAATGACTTGTAACTTACAAGAAATGAAAAGACTCGTAACTCTCGAGGAAATGAAAAGACTCATGACCTACAAGAAAATGAAAAGACTAGGAAATTAAAAGTTCTATAACTATTTAAATACAAACCACATTAAGCCATTTTGACCCTTATTGATTAGTCTTTGACTTGGCTTGGAGATTCATATCATATTTGGTCTGTAACCAAGTGAATTTCGCATGATTACATATTTTGCAGCCTAAGTTTTCTATTATACTCAAGTCCGGACTTTGAGGAAGAAATTTTCATATTCAAAATTGTAAGGTTGAATTTAAAAAGAAAATAAATGTGGGATACAAAATGTGGCTTTTGCTATTCTTTGTATATTATGGTTCTATGACTATGCATGCCTGAGGGTAACAGAACATTACCAAGGTCTCGTTTGATAATAATTTTGTTTTCTATTTTTTTATTTTTAAAAATTATCTTTTTTCTTTTAAATATATTTTAATTCTTAGTCGAATTTCAAAAATAAAAACAAGTTTTTAAGAACTGATTTTTTCTTTTTAGATTTCAAGATTTGACTTAGATTTTGAAAATGTTTTTTAAAAGTAGATAACAAATTAAGAAACGTATAGACGGAGATAGTGTTTACCAACTTAATTATAATAAAAGAGTCTAAAAAAATGGTTATGAAACGAAGCTAGTTAGGCTAAGTTTACTCCAAGGGAATGAGAATCCATGAATGAAAATCAATTTTTTCAGTCCCTTTGATGATGTTTACCAAATTGTAGGAATGGAATCAACTGGTGGAACTCACCTCAAACTTTGTAATTTCATTCTCTAAAAAAGCGTAATCCCATTCCTCTCCTACATCCTTATCAATTTCATTCTCATTCGTTATTTTGTGGGCCCCACACATTTATTAGGATTACTTTACTACTTCTACCCTTTCTCTCTCATGTATTAGTGAGGTTCATAACTTTTTTAATTAATTGTTTTATAATTTTATTATTTCTTTTTCATTTATACTAATAATTTTTCTTCTAATAAAAATTTATACAATTTTTATTAGTTGATGTGATTTTATTATAAAATATTATAAATTTATATTTAATTTTTTAATTTTACTTTGTTTTTATTAATTAATATCAATAGATTTTTTAAAATAGAATTCATTATTATTAAATATTAGAATAATAAAATTTAATAATATTTTATATTAAATGATAGTCGTTCTAATACAAAAGTATTTTAGTTGATGTAATTTTATTTTAGTTATTTATTATTTATTAATATTGAATAAGTTGTTATAATAAAAGATATTTACTATCAATAATATAGTAATAAAATAAGTTAAAATTTATTATTATTGTTAGTAAAAAAAATATTAGCACAATAATGTACTAGTAATGGTTATATATCCGATTTCGATTCCTATTTCGATTCCAGACAATTTTAGTAAACAACATCAAAGGAATTCTGATTCTGATCCTAGAAAATTTCTAGTAAACAACATCAAAAGAATAACATTCTCATTTCGATTGATTTGATTCTGTTTAATTTGCATTCCGATTCATTTCCATTCAAATTCCTAGTAAGCAAACAAGGTCTTACTTTTCATTTTGATTACTGTTTCAGAAAGCATTTTTATTAATTTTTTCAAGTTACTTTCATGACCCATTTTACAGATTTTGGTACTCTTCTCAACATGCGATGCTGTAGATTTCCACTATTCCCTGTTTGGTGACTTCAAATTATCCCCTTCTCCGGAATCAGAAATGAGGCTCAAACAAATGTTCCTTAAATGCAAGATTTTCCGGTTGCATGGGAGTATGAAGCCTGAGGACCGGAGAACAACATTTCAGGCCTTCAAATCAGAGAAGCTGGCTCTTCTTCTGTCTACTGATATTGCTGCTAGGGGTTTAGATTTTCCAAAAGTTAGATGTATTATTCAATATGATCCTCCAGGAGAGGCAATCGAGTATGTTCATAGGTAACTACACTTACTCTTTGACAAGGAAAAAATAAAATTCCTTATTATTTGTTTCTATTTGTTGGTACTATTTTTCTGTATTTTTAGTATGATGTTCCAGTTTATTATTTTCACTATTTTCTGTGTTTAGTATTGGATATGAAATAATGTGACAGCTCTCTAAGTGAGCCTCAATATCGTTGGCCAGAACATTCACAATGTCTCTACTCAATGGCCTCTTGTGTTCCCTGGATCTTATTAATTCCACTGGAATTCCTAATGTGGCTGAGATTCTTCTGGATTTCAATAGAGGATCTTGTTCAAGCGGATTTGTGTGGGATTTGCTTCATTTTTTATTTTTTAAATAATACCTAAATAAGGTGATCTTTAATTTATTTCCTTGAGTAGGATGATTATGGACTTAATGGTCAGGTTGCAGTAATGTAGTATTGATTGAGTGCACATGTAGCTATAATATTGTGGCAACGAGGTGATGATATATGTTCAACTCTGTTCAAGGATTTTTTTTTTCTTTTCTAAATGACAAAAATCCTAATTGGTTGGCTCTCGGGGCCTGATTTGTCAACTACTCAAGTCCAATCTATCTAGCATTTACATTTCTGAATGTGTATATCCTGATGCTATTTATTGATGCAGGGTTGGGAGAACTGCTCGCCTAGGTGAAAAGGGAGATTCTTTGTTATTCTTACAACCGACTGAAATAGATTATTTGCAAGATTTGCAGAACCATGGTGTATGTCTTACAGAATATCCTCTTGTCAAGGTGTTGGATAGTTTTCCGGTTCATGGCAGGAAGCAATCTGTAGAGAAGTTCGTCCCCTTGGAGTCGCATTTCTGGATCATGTTCTTGCAGAAGGCTGTTGAATCTTTTGTTGTTGCTGAGGTATAGTCTTTTCACCATCCCTCTTTCCTTCACTTTTGACCAAAACAATATTTTTCAGAGCATACGAGCCTTCTTGACAAGGCCCTTAATTTCATGATTATGAATGACATGTCAAGTTGTCCGGGCGAATAAAATTTTGTCCAATAGCTTTGATTTGACAATGCAATCGATCATTCTTGGAATTTTCATTTAGAGATGTTTGAGATAAACAATAGGAATTAACTTTTTTTTTTCAGAAGTTTGTGCATCGTTCTAATCATGATTCATGAATAACATTTACTTTTCGAAAGGCAAGGAAAATGATTTCGTTCTCCATTTTTACTTCCATTGACTTCCATGGTATTTCACTTGTAGGTTTTATTCTAAAATCTAAAATGATGTATGATTTTGGAAAGATGATATTTCATTATGGTTTTATCATATGTCAAGAATGAAAATCATAGAAATGGAATGAGTCTTTCAATCCCTTTGTTATTATTGTTTGTGTCAAATGATTGAGCATTCTTTACTTTATTTTTTTATCTCAACTTCTTTTTAGCAGTACTAATGTTAAATTTATATTGATTCATATTTCGAGTTTTAGTTTTCAAGATTAAAGGTATTTCATCTAATTTTGATTCTGGTTATAAAAATATTGATTCTTGTACTCTAGCATAAAGTGAGAAAGGTTAGGGCAAAATACTCTTATCAATTTTTGTGAATTATATGTATATATATTGTTAAACTATATTATACAGTTATTTTTCTTTTATTTCCCAGTTGCATTAGGTTCTAATAGGTTAGAGTTTGCTTGTTCCAATGGGTAAGGTTTCCTTATTCTAACAGGAAAGGGTTTCTTTTTCCTTTTTTTATTCTTCTTTGCCGTTGCTAGTTAGTTTACCCTCGTATCAATTCTTTGAAAGTAAGAATTATTTTTCTTATCAATTAACACACACACGTATATACATATATATATTTATTTATATATATATATATATATATATATATTTATGTATTTATTTATTTATTGTAGGAG